GCATGCAAGGCAAGCACTCTACCACTGAGCCACCTTCCCAGCCCCTAAATTCACTTTCTAAATCAAGGCAAGAATCTCAATTTGTAAGTTGACAGCTCTTTTCTTTCAAAAGAATTTAACAAAGCCTAATCAGACATTATTTGGATTATAGGTCCATATATATTATACGTGTAAGTGTATGTACTCATGTATATCATGAGCCTCAATAAAACCTGTATGAATTGGAGATAAACAAACCTAATTCAGTCGTTTTAGTATTTCCATTTGTTTTGTATGTTGAATCTGTAAGACACATTAAAAAAAAACAATTAGAACTAGAAAGGAAATGCATTATATGGTTCTTTATCACAGGTTCAAAACCTTAACACATCTATACCATACTTAAAAAGATAACCAAGTTTTATTAAAAAAAACTGAAAACTATGACTCTTAAAGGGAACAACTAAGGAGTAGTACCAAACTAATATAAAGTAGGGATCTTTAAGGACTAATAAACATAGAAAATGAAGTATAGGTAAATTATGTGGAGTGATCTCACTAGTTTTCTTTTATAGTTATAAAACCAATTTAAGGTGTTTTGACAAAGTGTCAGCCTAGATTTTTTTTTTTCCTGTATTTTGTGTTGGTACCGGGGCTTGAATTCAGGGCCTTGAGTTCTTGCTTAGTTTTGTCACTCAAAGATGGTGCTCCACCACTTGAGCCACACCTCTACTTACAGTTTTTTGGTAGTTAATTGGAGATAAAAAGCCTCTTGGATTTGTCTGTCCAGGCTGGCTTCAGACTATCCTCTGATTTTAGCCTCTTGAGAAGCTAGGATTTATTAGGTGTGAGTCTGTAAGCTTAACCCGGAATTTTATTAGCAATATACTCGAAAGTCCATGACCTTAGTTTGAAAACACCATGTCAGCACAAAAAGCTCACAGCAACATAAAAGAAACAGCTTCTTTAAAAGGGGGAAGCCCTTTACAAATAATCTTGTCATACGTATAAAGTGAAACTAAAACAATGTGCCAGAAGTATGTATCAAGCCAAAATTTGCACAAATGGGAGAAAAACCAAAAATATGCCCAGGGGTGGATCAAGTAGCTAGCATGCATGTGCTGGTCCTGAGCGAGTCCCAATACTGTATACAAGTAAAGTGGAAAGATGTGGAGTGGAAAAAAGCAAGTATTTCTGGAAAAGCACTTCTGAAACTAACATTAGTTGCTTCTAAAGAGGAGACTGGGTGGTTAAAAGACAGTGGCAGTGAAGAAATTTCATTATGGCCCTATAGTAGCATTTGAGTTTTAAACCATATAAATACATGTACTACATGCCTATAATCTTAGCTACTCAGGAGGCTGAGAGCTGAGGATCAAGTTTAAAGTCAGATGGGCAGAAAAGTCCCTGTGAGATGCTTATTTCCAATTAACTTCTCAAAAGTCAAAAGTGGAACTGTGGCTCAAAGTGGTAAGAGCTTTGAATATAAGAGATCAAGGACAGCACCCTCCAGCCCTGAGTTTAAGCCTTGCAACTGATCCAAAAAAAAAAAAGAAACAAAGCATTTATAAAAATAAATTAAACCAACAAATAATCTCTTACCAGATCTTGGGCTTCTTAGAGGGGGTCTACATAGGCTAATTACAGGATCTTCACTTGTCACTGCTATAGGAAAACATTTTAAAAAGATATAGATTATACAATCAGTCCTTTATTTAGTCAACAAAATTTTATAAGCTTTTCAGTATGCCAAAGAACTAAAGACAAGTTTTCTGTAAGTGACCACCACTTATGAACTAGTTACAATGGTGAATTAAGAAATAAATTTTCTGCCACATAACATTTATGTTCTTGGAAACATTTGTAGAGTTTTTCAGTAGACATACGGTATAAAAGAAAAGGAATAGTAAATAAAACTCAGAAGTTATCAATTAAAAGCCAAAATCTGGGCTATGTTACCAACTTAATTATATCTTTTAATTTTTTTTTTTTTTTGGTCGGTTGTGGGGCTTGAACTCTGGGCTTGGGTGCTGTTCCTGCACTCTTCAGCTCAAGGCAAGCACTCTACCGTTTGAGCCACAGCTCCACTTCTAGTTTTTGAGTGGTTTATTGGAGATCAGAGTCTCATGGGCTTTCTTGCCTGGGCTGGCTTTGAACTGTGATCCTCAGATCTCAGCCTCCTCAGTAGCTAGGATTACAGGCATGAGCCACCAGCGCCCGGCTTTTTAAAATTTTTTAAAAACATTATATCTTTTAAGTGTCACTTACCTTTACTGTGATTTTTTTTTTCTTTTTGGTAATACTGGATTGAATCTAGGACGTCATGCATGTGTTAGGTCAAATGTTCTACTACTGAGTTTCACCACGAGCCCTTTTAAAAAATGTAACTTGAAATTGGAAGTCCCTTTGTACAAGATAATAAAATACATTTTAAAAGCTTAATTTGAGGTAGAGTCTCACTATGTTAGGCTGGGGCTCCTTCTGCTTTAGCCTTCCAAGTGCTGGAATTATAAATGTGTTTTATATCTTGTTTATAGAGTATTTTACTTTTAAAAGAGCTAACCTCTCAAGAGTAATAAACACTATCCAAGTATTTAACCTTGTGGGTGCCTAAGAAATGTAAAATCTAATTTAAAGTAAAATGTTAATGTTAGCCGTCGTTCTTCATTTCAGACTGTCAGTTCAATGACAAAGGGTCTGTGGTAAAACTAATTCCATTAAAGAACATGCTAGTTTTAATCCAGAAAAAAGAACATATATAAAGCTTCATAGAACTCTGAAACCTAACAATATACCTAAGCTTAGACGTTATGTTTTATTTTTCTCTAATAAAGAAAGCATTATGTTTTGGCTGTGAAAACTGCAAAAACCACTTTCTGGAGTTTTGATGGTCCTCTTAAGACATTTAGCTCTAAGATTCAAGGAAATAACTATCTCAGGTGTTAGCATTTCACGTATCAAGTATTTAGAATTTACGTGTCTTTATAGCCGGGCACTGGTGGCTCACGCCTGTAATCCTAGCTACTCAGGAGGCTGAGATCTGAGGATTGTGCTTCAAAGCCAGCTCGGGCAGGACAGACGGGGAGACTCCTATCTCCAATCAACCACCAGAAAACCGGAAGTGGCGCTGTAGCTCAAGTGGTAGAGTGCTTGCTTTGAGCTGAAGAGGTAAGGGACAGCGCCCAGGCCCAGAGTTTAAGACCCATGACAAAAAAAAAACAAAAAACAAAAAACGGAGTCACTTATGTGAAAGCTAAACACAATGAACACAAAGGCCATGAAGCAAGAAAGAACCCTCATCTCATGCATGTGACTATTATAAGGAGTCTCTAAAACCACCAAATTTCTAGATTATTACTTTTTGTATTGCTGGGAATTGAACCCAGGGCTTCTTGCATTCTAGGCAAATACTTAACACTGATCTATATTCTCAGATTAGTCATATTCTATACAAGTATCTCCCTATCAAAAGCTGGTAATCACTAACGCATTAATTTTGTAACCAATCGAGGTTCAAATGGACTTTGACTTTAAAAGCTTCCCCTTGCCCTGAGCTCTTTGGATGCATTTATGATATGACATAAACTATGTGTGTCTTGCATTGTAACCCCTCATCTTGAAAAAACTTGTATTCATAAACTGCTTTGTTAAATGGAAACTCCTTTTTTTTTTGTCAGTTGTGGGGGCTGAACTCTGGGCCTGGTGCTATCTTTCAGCTCTTCAGCTCAAGGCTAGCATTCTACCACTTGAGCCACGGCGCCACTTCTGACTTTTTCTGCTTATGTTGAGGAGTCGAACCCAGGGCTTCATGCATGCGAGGCAAGCACTATACCACTGAGCCAACTTCCCAGACCAGGCAATTCCTTTCTTAAAGAAAAAAAAACAAACAAAAAAAATATTTTTTTAAAATGCCAGTCCTAGAGTATGAACTCAGGGCTTATGTGCTGTTTCTGAGCTCTTTTGGTCAAGGCTAGACCTCTACCACTTGAGCCACAGCTCTACTTCTGGCTTTTTGGTGGTAACTGGAGATAAAAGTCTTACAAACTTTCTTGCCTGGGTGAGCTTTGAACCATTATCCTCAGATCTTAGCCTTCTGAGTCGCTAGGATTACAGCATGAGCCACTGGTTCAAGGGGGGAAATTCTTTTTTTGGAGAGTGGTTCTAATTGCTGCTCATTTTCAGTTGACATGGGAAACCAGAATGTGGAAAACAACTGCCTATGCATTACTGTATTTTTAAATTTATTTTTATACCAGTACTGGGATGTAAATTCAAAGCCTGGATGCTGTCCCTTATTCTACGCAAGGCTGGACTCTACCACTTCTGACTTCTTGGCAGAATCTCCAATTAACTTGCCTGCCTGAGATGGCTTAGAATGATCCTTAGATCTTAGCCTCTGGAGTAGGTAGGATTATAGGTGAAAGCCACTGGTGCCCCAGTTTTTTACATGCATTAAAAAAAAAATTCAGCCGGGCGCCAGTGGCTCATGCCTGTAATCCTAGCTACTCAGAAGGCTGAAATCTGAGGTCGCGGTTCAAAGCCAGCCCGGGAAGGAAAGTTTGTGAGACTCCTATCTCCAATAAACCACTAGAAAACCGGAAGTGGCACTGTGGCTCAAGTGGTAGAGCACTGGCCTTGACCTGAAGAGCACAGGGACAGCGCCCAAGCCCAGAGTTCAAGCCCCATAACTAACAAAAAAAAAACCAAACTCAAAAACAAAAAAAAGAATCATTGCTATAGCTGGGCACTGGTGGCTCATGCTTGTAATCTATCTACTCAGGAGACTGAGATCTAAGGATCACACTTTGAAGACAGCCAGTGCAGAAAAATCCATGATACTCATTTCCAGTTAACCACCAGAAAACCAGAAGTGGTGTTGAGACTCAAAGTGTTAGAGCACTAATCCTGAGTAAAAAAAAAAAACCCACAGGAACAGGGTTCAGCCCCTGAATTCAAGCCCCATGACCAAAAAAGAAAATCATAGCTAATGTGTTGTCTCTAATATGAATTTAATTTCTCACATTGCATTATCTTCTGAAGATAAAAAAGATTTTCACTATAAGACAAGCTATAATATTTGAAAGTCTCCTCACTTTGTCTATTTGAAATATCAAAATTCAATTTAAATGTCTTTTCTAACTTATTAAAATACATTGGAATTTCCTTTTTAGGGTTCTTCTCTAGGTTCAATATACACGTGCTACTGTTTTAACAATTACAATAATTTTTTTCCCCTGTTGGTTTTTGTTGTTGTCGTCATGGGGCCTGACTCTGGGCCTGGGTGCGGTCCCTCAGCTCTTCAGCTCAAGGCCAGAGATCTACCACTGGAACCACAGCGCCACTTTCTGGTTTTCTGAGATAAGCCTCATGGACTTTCCTGCCCAGGCTGGTTATGAACCATGATCCTCAGATCTCAACCTCCTGAATAGCTAAAATTATAGGCGTGAGCCACTGGCGCCTGGCTTCAACTTGTTTTATATTTTTGACCTAAGCTTCAAAAAATGCACACAGCAGTATAATCTGATGATGAATCAGTAACATTTACGACTTCCTGCTTTAAGTTTCACTTCCCTCTTTTGTTTTTCAGCTTCTTTTATTTTAAACATAGCTGCTATATGCAACAGGTTAAAACATTAGTAAGATGTTTCTTAAAAGCAGATAATATTCTTTCTTAGGTTCTTGCCAAAACTTTGAAAAATGTAAGCCCTAGATGGACAAAATTATCATGAATGAAAAAAATGTTACGAGCCATGTGCCAGTGGCTCACGCCTATAATCTTAGCTACTCAGGAGGCTGAGATCTGAGAATCCCGGTTGGAAGCCAGCCAGCCCGGGCAGGGCAGGAAAGTTCTTATCTCCAATAAACGGCTGTGGCTCAAGCGGTAGAATGCTTGCCTTGAGCTGAAGAGCTCAGGGACAGTGCCCAGGCCCAGAGTTCAAGCCCCACGACCGACAAAAAACAACAACAACCACAACAAAAAAACATGTTACAAGAAATTATAAAGGTCCTGGATTCAATAAATAATACACAAGTAGCTAATAAACCAGGCTGTTGGCCTTTGTTTACTTTATGTTTTTTTCTTTAAAGAGACAACATCTTGCTATATAACCCAGGTTGACATGAAACTCTTAATATTCCTGCTTCAGTCTCCTGAGTGCTAGAATTAGATGTATGCTACCATAACTGGTTAAGAACAGATAATATACTGCTGGGTACCGGTGGCTTGCACCTGTAATCCTAGCTACTCAGGAGGCTGAGATCTGAGGATCACACTTCAAAGCCAGCAGGAGCAGAAAAGTCTGTGAGACTCTTATCTCCAACAAAGCACCAGAAAACCAGAAGTGGTGCTGTGGCTTAAGTGGTAGAGCGCTAGCCTTGAGCTGAAAAGCTGAGGCCCAGAGTTCAAGACCCAGGACAAACAAAACCAAACCAAACAAAAAAAGCATCATTTTTTAGTATCCAGACACTATAAATCCTGAAGTCTCTAAAGGAACCAGCCTGAGTTTAAATAAAAAATTAATAGAGGAAGAAGTTATAGTTATGTACTTATAAAGAAAATGAAAGTGGGCTGGGAAGGTGGCTCAGTGGTAGAGTGCTTGCCTTGCATGCATGAGGCCCTGGGTTTGATTCCTCAGCACCACATAAGCA